CCAATAGCGATTTTCCTTACTGAGGAGTTGGCAACACTGTGCCTGACCTGTAAAACCACATATACATTTTCAGCCAAGCCAAAGCTGGTCCTTTTGTATATGCCACTGTGACACAGAGCACAGCACCACTCAGGACGAGACAGAGATATTAGCATTAACCAGAAGTTCTTTGTGTAGCAGGCTGAAGCAAAAGGGGATTAACGGCATCTTTCATGGGTGTGTCAGCTTCTTTTTACCACCCACCTGGAGGCCAGGCCCACCATGTTTTGCCTAAGTGGCACCGAATGGAAAACCCACATACCGGGTAGGCCATCGCCTGCTGCATTGATCAGAGGAAGGGAAGAGAAGGTGCTGCTCGTTGTAACAGATACCGGGGCCAACATCATCGAGACTATTAGGCAGTAGTGGTTTTTGATACGGGGCGGCATCGTGGTGGGGGGCGGCATAAAATAAAATAAAATAAATAAAATTGCTCGTACTCATGCTGCCCCGACATCAGCCAGCGCATATTGGGAATGGTACAGGCACCGATCGGTTTTCTATCGCCCATTTGCTGGGAGTAAGGGGGCCCTCCGTTTGCGAGGTGCGCCTGGTGCTTGCGGCACAGGGAGGAGAGGGCGGGGGAGCAGCATCTAATAACCAACTCGCAAAATAAAACAAAAATAAAAACAAAACAACAAACACGAAAGCACCAGACATTATAATACAGACTTATAATTTGCACCGATGTTTTTTCGAAATTCTTCAGCAGCAAGCAGGTGCGCCTGAGGGAGTGTTCGCCCAGGGAGCAAAACAGGCTAGGACCGCCACTGCTGTTTGGCTTGTACCAAAGCTTCTCAGCATGAGCAAAGAGCTGATGCGGAGGGCCAAGATGAAATGTGGATGGACTCTGAGTCAGACAGAGAGTCTGAGGTAAGGGGAGCTCTCGGTGAGTGTTGTCATAGGAGCAAACACATTGTTGTTGTTTTTTTCTTTTTACTTATGTAAACTGTGCATTAATCAACAGCATTTGTAGCTATAATGTTCGAGTTCCCTTTTGGCTTTTCTGATTCATATGAATATATAGAAGAAATCTGTGCATGGCCCTTGTCTGAACGGTGGCACCACCAACAAATTCACAGTGGAAACAAGGTATTTATGACGGATTCATGGTGAAGTGTTACAAATCTGTTTTCTGCTCGTATTGTGAAACTCTATCATCTTCCCTGTGCAGAGGAGCAGGTACTGTTGCCCCTGGTCTACCAATGGAACTTCCATCTGAGGCCAAAATGTCCTGAACCGACAACAAGGATGGCAGCTGCAGTGTGGAGTACATCCCATATGTGGCTGGCACGTACAACCTCAACATCACATATAGAGAACAACCTATCACAGGTGCTGAATGGTATTTTAGTAGTATTAAGAAATACAATTGTGAGATAAGAGCGTCTTAAGTGTATAGTGTTGAAATGTACTCCATCTGCTGCTGTTAAAAAAGGGGGGGCTTAAATATTTCTTCTAATTTTCCCTCATGTCTTGCCTGAGCCCAAGAAGGCAAATAACCATTACAACCATGATGGGACCTACCTGGTGTGTTATGTGCCAGACATGACTGACAGATACACCATTCTCATTAAGTACGGAGGAGACGAGATCCCTTATTTACCCTACTGAACCAGGCTTCTGTTTAGCAGAGATGCCAGCAAGTGCACTTTCACAGGTATGTACTGGACAAATGGGCTTCTGCAGTCATAGCAGTTATAGAGGTTTTGTTGTTGTTTCTGTTGTTTTCTTTACTTTTTGTGGTTTTTCTACTAATTTGTCAAAGTCAGTTGTACTGCTGACCAGCTTCTCATTTCAGTAGGAATAATTAGTAGAACATATTGTGTAGAATACTGATACAAAATGCACCTAGATTTTCAACATTCACATCTGATTCTTATAAACAATATATGCCCCTTTTTTCCAAATGTTGCTTTCTATTGCTATTAAAGTTCTTGCAACCAGGAGAGATCAAAAGGTGTTTTGTCCTGGTTTTCACTCAGACTGCAGAAATCCATAGTTGCTCTTACAGGATGTAATATATTTCAGAAAATGTTAAACATATTTACAAATGGGTAAATACCTATAAATAAGTCTCTTTAGAACACGAGTAGGTGTTTCTCAGCCAGTATAAGTGGCTGGGTTAGTGATATGAAATGACCTTGCAGACCTCTTGAGCTGTTGTCCAGTTTCATACATACAATGAACTGAGGTATTCTCTTTGGTTAATTACTTGTTTGACAATGGCAACGATTGCAAGTCTTCCTCCCCAACCAAATCTACTAAGGGGACACCGAACCTTTGCTCTCCAGAGATGATTATGTAGGTGTTCTGTAAGGATGACGAGTTTTGAAAAAAGTCATGTGATACAGATCCCCTCTCAGTATACCTGCTGCTCATATCTCATCATTTTTCTGTGCATTGGTATGTGGTATTCCTCACACTGTGCTCCTCAGTTACACCCCCTGCCCAATCCTCACACTGGTTCCTCTCTCATAACTGTGTGTCTCCATTTCCATTTTATATTGCACAAACTAATGGACTGACAGAGTAGGTAGGAAAGCGTGGTGAAATGGCACTTTGGCTAATCTAGATTTCTGTTTATACGTGGAAAATGTAACAGTTATAGACCCTGTGCACGAGAAAATGCTAATTTGTTGTTTTAAGACCGGATGTAGGGTTGTACATTTCCGGTAGCTTTATTTTGCGGTCAATCGCTACTGCGAAGGTGGACTCCAAAATCATGTCCAAAATACGAAAATGGAGAGATCACATTAAGTTAAAAAGAGCAGGAGGTGGGAACAGTCGCCATTGCTGTGTCATAAAAAATCAAATGTTAAATTTTGACGTGTGAAGCATGTAGATCGATTGGTTGTTTACATCACTCAACACAAGCAAAATTACATTACAAAATCAGAAGACACATCGTCCACATTCAGAAGCACATCTCTATATAGTGACAGTTCTTATGATTTAAAGAGGGAAATGTCCAGTATTCAAACTAAATAGAATAGAATGCCTTTATTGTCACTATACAGTTGTACAATGAGATACAGAGCATCTCCTACTCAGTGTAAACATGCTGGGGCGGGGGGGGTACAGTTCTGCAGCGCTATATACATATGGGCAGTATTAACATAGGGAAAAATGATATATATATATAAAAAATGTACAAATATACAAGCTGGTTTAAAAAAAAAAAGTAATATGTAATAAATAGTGTTGTGTATATACAGTTGAGTTATTGCACATAGAATTGGTATCCATAGAGGAAGTGGGAAGAAAAAAATTGTGTGTGTGTGTGTGTGTG